AATGTCTAAATCTAAGCCAGTCACGTTCTACTCCCTTTGCTGTCCAGAGGGAGGCAACTCCCTGACAAAGGTGATTTATCTCTCCTTTCTCATACGCTTATCTTCAAAAAAGCAGAATTACTCCCTAAAGATAAATTACCTCCATTTACTTATTAGCTAAGGTAAAAAACTAGTCCCAACCTTTGCAACCAAGAATAATAATGGATTTGGACTGGGTGTGTTAGTCTCAGATAGGATATTGCAGACTGGTTTATTCACCATAAGTCATGAAAACATCCTTTTCAACTGAAATGTCAGTGACCATTTCATTTAATTCTGCTGGCCTGCCAGGTAATATACTCTGCTGTCAGTATATAGTATGTCTTTGTAAAACCTGAACATTTCAGCATTAGATTTAGGGAGCTCAACCTCTCCCTTTATGCGTGGCATCCCATGTACCATCATTAAAATTATACATGCTGATACTATCAGTAATGTTCCCCAAGACTAATTTCTGAATACAGCTGGAGAGATTTGTAGTTACGTGGTAAAAATAATACAAGGAAGCTATGCCCATGTATAGATTTTTTTATGATTTTTTATATTTTTTATATATTTTTGTTTGCTGTTCAAACAATTCTACATAGGATTCTTATAATATTTCTGAATTCAGCTATGAATCCAATGCTCTTTTTCAAATGATTATACCTCACTAAATATTAGACGTGTTTTATGACAGATGATTTGTAAAACTAATCCAATCTGCATGGGGGATTAAAGAATTAAAACACTAATAGACTACTTTATTTCATGTATTCATCATTACAGAACAGGATCCCTTATATTTTTAGGCCATCGAGTGCCAAAATCTTCTGCACTTGGCCAGAAGAAAAAACACTTTATAGTTTTCTTCCCTGTTCTGTTTCTAGGGTGCTTTTTTTTTTTTCTGAGGAATAGAAGGGTAATGATCAACTCTCTACAAGCCAAAAGAAGTTAAAAATACCCCTTTCATTTCAAAGCAAGAGATCAGAAAATCCGGAGGTGCTCTCTTTGCATTTTTGTATGTTACATACAAATAGTTTGAACTATTGAATATGTTTTTAAAGGATTTATCCAAAGCAGATATGAGTATTTATTGAATAACATTGTTTCAGGTAATCAGACAGTCGTATGCAGTCATGCACACCTTGTAGTCTGTGATCTGACTTACTGAAAATGAATAACACTTCTTTTTGCAAAACAAAGTTATTTAGGGGGTCAAATCTCCAAGGAGTCTTGTACAGAAAGAAAAAGGTCCGTGTAAAATGCGAATAAGACAGAACAACAGGAATTTTAATCAAAGGCACTCATAACCTTTCATTAACTTCAGTGGAACTGGAAATTGGCCTTCATTGTTCGGGCTTAAACCAGATTCTAATAGTTCAGATTTCTCTAAAGCTAAATTTATTTATTTATTTTTTTAATCTAACTTTCCGTAGATTTATTTTTCAAAATATATTTGCAGAGACCAGCAGAATAAACCAGTATTTCCGTATCAAACCACTTCTCCCTTTCAGGCAGCCTACCTAAGGTAGACAGAATTAATGTGACAAATTACTCTTTGTGCCGTGGTCCCGGATGCCAGTTTTGTTGATTTTTTTTTTCCAATGCTTTTACCCTTGGACGATGAATTGTAACAAATCTGACAGTCATTCTTTATAAAACAAATGGATTTGACTATTTAAACAGGTGTGGCATGTTCTAAAAACATACTTGTGGTAGCACTACTTCATTTTAACAATATAAATAAAGATCAAGTGAGCATAAAAAATTAATGAAAATTGATAAGTGCAGTGAATGGTAAGGGGAAGGTGTATTTCCCATTTAGAGGTTCCAGACAGGTTTGGACAAATATTTTCTGCATGATATCGGGGGAAAACTGGAATGATCTCCTGGGATGCTGAGTATCTGGAACTGCTAGACTCTAGATTACACGGAATAGAAAAAGACAGTCTTAATAATTATGGGTGATAGGTTATTAAGCTTTCTGGTACTTACAACCATAGTTTCATCAACCTTTGATGAGACTATTGCAAGTACTTCAGAACAAAAAACACATTCACATTTATCTCAGGACTTAAAAGTATGTGGGAGACCTTATCAGGATTGACTTTCCAAAGAACTGCATGCTGTACAAATAAAGGACAAAAGCAGATGCGTCGCATTGGATTTATAATCCAATATTAAAATGATGGCAAGAACCAGAAATTCCAGAGGAAATAGGAAACAACAGAACAATATTGGGTTGCATTTTGGACAGAAACCCCAACACATCATCACCCAAAGTGATGTTCTCTGTGTAGACATCACCACAAAGGCAACAGTGAAGGAGGGAACTGTAGCAGAAGAATGAGAAGATGTCCAGATTCTCCATATGGGGCTTCTCCTGAGGACAGCTGGAGCATGAAAGGTAACAAGGTGGTTTGTGCCTGCACAGGGCAGAAGAAGAACACTAGAGCCTTCCTGATGCTACCTGGGAGGTGACAGTGACAGTAAAGATTCTGTGAAACTGGAAAGAAGAGCTGAGGGTCACTGCACTGAAGAAAAATGCAAAGCCTCCCACTGAACCAAGGGAAGAGGCAAGACATAAACACACATGCCTGTAGCCATTCTGCAGGTGCATTATTTCTAAGCAACACATTGGGCAACAGACTTTTACTGTGTATATAAATAAAGCCCTGGCTTTTGGCTTCAATAAGCTAATTTTATTTAGCAAACCAAGTTCAGGAAAGGAGTTCTCCAATAGGTAGGTCATTCCGTGCATGGCTATGATGTGAGTCACTGACTTATCTTTCCCTCTCAAATCTCTCTTTCTTTTTTTTTTTTAGTTTGGCCAGATTGATAAGAGCTGGAAAAGGCTAAGCAGCCATCCCTAAACTCAAATTTTTCATTCTGTGGCCAACTTTGCAGCCTGCTGATGGCAAAGTCTTTTTGCTCTGGGAAAAAACAGGCTGTTTTTTCTCTTTCCTTGCCCTGGAGACAAGGAACAAAACAAAACAAACAAACAACAACAAAAAAAGCCAGAAAAGTGCAAGTGGATTGGTTCCTTTTCAGTCACCTATTTCCTAAAAAAGATTCATTCTCTTGAAATGGACAGCCCCAAAGCTGACGTCATCTTCTGCAATAAGTATTGGCCAAGAAAGAGAAGGGCATGCATATATGCATGTATAAATACAGAGTTAGGGTGAGGAGAACCTCTAATTCTTACAGCTCTTTTCAAGATATAGAAGGACTCTAGCTGGAGAAAGGTAATGTATGCAGAATTTAATTTTGGTATTAGAAATTATATCCATAGAGGCATTTGTTCAGCACTGATTATGTGCTCTTACAAAGGGGAATGCAGTTAATATCTAAGTCATGTGAAACTGGGTGATTAAAAGAAATGCCTATTTGCAATTTTCCTAGAGGCAGAATTTGAAAATTTATTTAGATAAAAAAGGTAGCCCTTTGAATCCCTTACTTCAGACTTCAATAACTGAAGTAACTGAAAAGACAAATATTTTCAATATCATAAACTTTCAGATCTGCTTCATACTGAAAGTTTTATGTTCTGGCAGGAAAAAAAGGCTGTGCTGAGCAGTGAAGCACTAAGATTTTTTTTTAAAAAAAAAAATTAGTCTAGACTGGACTTTTCATTTAGATTTTTTTTTCCTAGCTTTTTAATTGTTCGATTCCTTTATTTTTACACTAAATCAGCAATGCATTAAATGTAGTTTGGTATATTAAATACTCTTTACATAGATCTGAGAACAGTCATTTTATGACTTCATAAATATTTCAAAAGAAATTTACTCTAAGGAGTGGTTTTGATTGTACAGTTGGGCACTGTAGATATGCAATAATGTTTGAACCAAGTTTAAGTAAGCTTTATATTTCTGGGCATACATTTCAAGGGATGCCCTTGTCTGGGGAATCCCAGGTTTTGTTCATGAATTTGCTAAAATGATCTTATTTCTGTATAGAACACTAAAGGAGAATTTCTGTACTGGAGGAAAAGTCAAACAACTCTTCTGCAGCCAAAGACATCCTTCCAGTCTAAGAATTTATTCTTCAGTAAAAAGAGTACAGACACCTAGGTTTGTCTTTGAGGGCTGCTGGATGAATTCACTGATGTGATTTCCTTGGGCAAGGGTCAGAAAAACAACGCAAAGACTGAACATCTGAATGACTTAGAGTCTTCAGAGTGGTAGTGTGTCTCGTTAACCTGCACTGTGCGATGAGACACAACACTGGCTTACCTGTCCAGTCTAACTGTAGCCTGTTTAGCTACAGGAGCATTATAAACATCAGACCACATCATTTTGGTGTTTTTGTAGGGCAAAATCTTACCTCTGATTTCCTCAAAGGTAAGATTTCTTGGTCCAGGCAAGGTGTCATCATCATGTAACAATGAAGCTCGCTGGATCATGGTTTTCATGAAGTGAGAAAAAGATGAAGGAAAGTAAAAAAAACTCAACATATCTTGGGTAACAATAATATTTGCTGTTTCCAATCTTTCATTTTCCTATTTCAAAAGTTTGAATGCCACAATTTATTTTTGTTTTCATAGAAGTGTCCTTCAGAATAAATAAACATTGCTAAATCAGACATAGTTTTGTAAAGGAAGTCAAAGAGGGAGTTGAGTAGCTCTTGAAAGGAACACACTTTATGCTGCTTGAAGGCTCTGCCTCAGTGATGGATGGTGTCTTCTTTCTGGAAGTGATAGCAGTGGTCATGCACCATCATGCCTCCTTTTGCTCTTTAAATAGCCGAGTTTCAAAGAAAAATCTTTTGATCCTCCAGTCAACACCAGCTCTGCCCAGTTAATTCTGCAGAAAATGCAGTGCACACGCAACCACATTAAGTATCAAATAAAGCATTCATATGTGCAGCACGCTTCACTTTGCAACAGTTTCGTATCCTGTTCACATACTACATCACTCTAAATACTTTAACTAATTCAAATAAAGCATTTTGCATTTTGTTTTGTTTTCTCTTCAGCAATGGGTCCACTAATTGGAATCATTTTCCTGGCTGCTTTGCTACATCAATCTGCTGGAGAGGTAAGAGCATTCATCCTTGTGCACAAGACTCATATCTGAGCCTGTAGCATGCATGTTTCATGTTTGTTTTTTCCTCATCCATCTTATCTGTCTAAAGCAATCTTTAAAGCCTTAAAATTCAAGTTTAAAATCATTTTTCACATGTTCTTTCCACATTTTTATAGGATTTGTGTTAAAATATTTAATCTGCCTATCATATTCTCCTCTTAACTTGAATACAGCCGTTTTGAATAGAAGTTTTTTCACCAAACGTTAAACAAAACTGCTCCAAAATCATGTATCTAAACACTTTTCATGACTCCTCAGAGAGGATTAACCTAATAAAATGTAGATATCTACTAAGCAGACATTTAGATGTGAGTTATTTGTCAAGATCTGATTGGTGATTAATTTGAATATAACTTGCAAATCATAGAATTTCTTTTCTCTCATTTTATACTTTTCTTCTTGTCCATAAAGAAAAACTTAGATATTTTTTGGATTTCTACTTCTATGATGTGGATATCTAAAATTAAATAAGTTGAATTAATGCCTAGAATAGACTTCATCATCAAAAAATTAGTTGTTCAGGTCTCAGACTCCCTGTACAATCAGTATAATGAGAAAAAGGTACTTCTAGTTGACGGTTCTTTCAGCCTTATGATGGAATTTCATGGATAGAACCACCTCTGCCCTTTCAAGCAATAACAGAGATTTAAGATGCCTACTATAGGCATTAGATTTTAGACATTAAGTGGGAAGAAACCCATTCTGAGTGATTCTTTAGCCTGAAAAAAAGAAAAAGTAAGCCTTGTAACTATTTTTCTCAGCAATGATCCATGGTTTGAGATTGTTGACAGCAGACAATCAAAATTATTCATTGCTTTCTGGACTTTAGATACCTCAGAAAATGGTCTGCAAACAGCACTGACTTCTGATCCAGCTTCAAATACGTCCAAAGTTTGCAGCCAACAGGAGCATGCAAGAAATTAAGCCAGTTATGAGATTTGGATCCAGAACTAAGCTTTGTCCATGTCTGATGGGGAGACATCTGGAGAGAACAGGGAAATCTACAGGTTCCACTTAGGCTCATGTCACCCTATGAAAAGTGCAGTTCATATGAACAAAGGGAGAAAATATCAGCAGTTATAAGAATTCAAAAAACAGTAAAAGAAAGTCAAGAATTTCTCAGGAACTTTACTTTGACAAGAAGCTAGTGATTAATGTTCATTAAACCTTTGAGAACCAGGACCATCGTTGTTATTATTTTCCATTTCAGAGTAGACGTTTGGAGTACTCTTACTCTAGTCATTCTACGGCTCAAACCCGCCGACTGATTATTGACCAACACAATGAAATACGGAGATCTGTCGTTCCTCCAGCCAGCAACATGCTGAAGATGGTAAGATATGTATTATGTCCAATCTTCTTTCCAGATCACAAGCAGAAGATTGTAACCTTCTAAACAATGTACAACACAGTGAACAGAGAGCAGGAAAAACACTCTGGAGTTTGAGAGGGGGAGAAAACAGAATTTTATCTCAATTTTTCTGCAGTTAGTCTTGTACAGTTTAATGCTTTCACTTGCAAAATCATTGCAATTGTCTCACAACAGGTCCAATCTGCTACTCATAATCTTTCTCTTAAGCACCATGCCTTAGTTCCCACAGTTAGCAAAACTCAGATAGGCAGCGTGGGGAATGTCCATGAGGAGATTTATTCTATGGTAGGATGGAAGAAATTGTAAATGAGAATAAGTGGAACTGTAAAACACAAGTTTGGCCCAAACATGGGCTATTACTACCATCACACCTAAATTTACACAGTCTCCAGAGTAAATCACAACATCATCATGGAAAAGGTAAAGCATCAGAAAGGGATTTAAACTGAGGGCAAATATAGGGGTATTTCTTGGGTTACAGATACCACTCTAGCCTGTGAGACTATGCGCTCTTTTTCTCTTTCTCTCTCTTTCTCTCTCTCTCTTTCTCAAAAAAAAAAAAAAAAAAAAAAGGGAGAGAGAAACAAATTTCCTGGGCCCAGGAAAACAAGGGTGGAAGAGGAGCACAAGCAGTGCCATATTACTGATTTGCAGACTGAAAAACTCTTGTGTCCAATTGGAGTAAAGTGGCGGAACCTTCTACTCTACTTTCTACTGCGCACCATTCAGCATACTGAGGAACATTCAGCACACCATCCCCAAATCAATTCCTGCTTTTTTTCCTTCTCCCTCTTGGATGGCACTGTGATCTGGATACTTAATATTTTGTGTCTTTCAGGAGTGGAGTGACAAAGCTGCTGCCAGTGCTCGGAGATGGGCAAATAAGTGTCAACTGAAGACCAGTCCTCCGGAGGAGAGACTTTTTAATGGTATGTGAAGAACTTGGAGTCTAACCTGAAAGGTTAATGATGATCTGCTGATGATCTCTGGGCCTGTTAATTAGAAATGAGGATAACTTTAATCAGACACAGCATATCTTTTGAGGATTCTTAAATACAAAAATATCATTCTTGCCATAGAAAGACCCTTAAAGAGAAATTGCGAAAGTCTGAGAAGGGGAAGCCCTGTTCTTCTACCCTTCATTAAGTATCTGCTTTTGTTCCCTGCTGGAAACAGGACAGTGCAAAGATGAACAACCTTTCTGAAGTTAAATATAGCTATTATTGTGTAACATTTTGTAGTCAAATACATATAGGGGACCTAAAGCTCACTGAAATCAGAGGAGCTCTGCAGCTTTCATAGGGTCAGGTGCACTGTCATCTTCTCAAAACCACAGAGCAGATGCATAGGCCTTATAGACCATTTTTAGGATGTAAATATGTCATAGCTACTACCCTAGATGTTTCTTCTTCCCTGTGTAATGAAACTGACTTAACTTCTATTTTCAGGTGTCCCCTGTGGTGAGAACATATTGGTGTCAAATTACCCCAACACATGGCCTGAAGCGATTAAAATATGGTATAGTCAGATGGCCAATTTCAAGTATGGGCTTGGACCAGTCAGAAGAAATGCCAATATCCACAGTTACACTCAGGTATGGAAAACTGCTGTGATCTACAATGATACTCTAGAATTATATGAGTACAATGAGCTGGGTGAGTTTTATCATCAGAAGAAAAATTTTATACATACATACATACATACATATATATATATTTATCTACCTCACTGTCCTCAAACCATTATTTATCAGTCATTCACACCATAGAATCATAGAATCCTTACGATTGGAAGGGACCTTTAGAGATCATCTTGTCCAACCTCCTGCACACGCAGGGTCACCTAGAGCACGTGGCACAAGGTGGCGTCCAAGTGGGTTTGGAAGATCCCTCCCAGGGAGGGAGATTCCACAACCTCTCTGGGCAGCTTGTTCCAGTGCCCTGGCACCCTCACGGTTAAGATATTTTTCCTCAAGCTCCTGTGGAACTTTTGGTGTTTCAGTTTGTGGTCATTACCTCTATCCAAAGCCATAAATTAAAATCTTTTTGCATGTACTCCAGAGACCCTTCACCATGTGTTTAAGAAGAGTTGTTCAGAAGATAAATACGATTCACTGGGAAAAAATATTGAAATATCTTTAATCTTAAAATAAGAGGAAAAAAATATGTATGCATTTTATATGTAGGGGGTTGGAATATTTAATTATGAAAAATTAGAAAAATATCTATGATGAAAATATTTAAATACAAACTTTTTATGTATTCCCAGAAAATGTGTCTGAAACATTTGCAAACTGGAGAACATAACTAAATCTTTTTCCTATTTGTTCTCCTGAGTGCTAAATTGTGTATTTAACAGCTAAAAAACTCATGCAGAACAAAGCAAAAAACATCTTCACACTTTGCTGTTTTGTGAACTCATTGATGAGGATTCAGAGAGTAAATAAAATATGCCTCTGACTTAATGTATTTATTTTCAATTCTACAGCTAATCTGGTATAACAGCTACCAGATTGGATGTGCAGTTGCCTACTGTCCTAACAGCCGATACAACTACTTCTATGTTTGCCATTACAGCCCTGCGTACGTACTGCACTTTTACTCATTTATGGTGATATAATTCTGGACACATTTAAAAAAAAAAAAAAGGTCCATTGATCATGAGCAAGATCAAATGCTTACATTTCTTTTTGGACAATTCTAAAAAAACCATTGATACCATTGATAAAAATTATGACTATGGGAAGTAGGTGTAAACAATTGTGAATTAAAAACCAGTCGAGATATTGATGTTTATTTTATTTCATATTTAAACAGAAATTAAGGTATCTTAGCATATGAATAAGCCTAGATATGTCTCATAAGCTGTTGATCACAAACTTTGATCATGAATGGGAAAGTAGGAAGCTAAGTGAAGGCCAAGAGCAAATGAGCATTTACAGGAGTAAACAACACATCTGCAACCCTTGTATGTCAGAAGGGATCTGCTGAGATTATTTCCTTATAATTCTCAGTGCATATAGAAGTCATTAAGAAAACAGCAGTTTGGAACCAGAAAAGATTTTAAAAAACAAATAATAAATAACTTGCAATGCTATACAAAGAAATACTATCAATTCAATTTCCTTCCTCTGCCCCCAAATCTTCCCAGCCTTTCCATTTGAAATTGAGATTCTTGTAGTCATAGAATATGTCAAACATGGAAAGTTTTTCATTCAGTAACTGGTGGAACTCTTTCACTGTGGGAAAGGATTTGAGCTTCTGTTACAGCCTCAGAGCTGCCCTTTCATCTTCTTTCATGTTGTCTTTCTTGGACTTTCAGAGGAAATAACCCACTGCAAATAACTACACCTTACAAAAAAGGACCAAGATGCGGCGAATGTCTAGGCCACTGTGACCGTGGGCTTTGCAGTAAGTGACTCCATGTTCCTCCTCATCATTTGAGATGATAGCGTTGTTCCTGCATAATTTTTTTTAACCTTTCCATTTTTCTACCCATTCCCATTCTGGAAACAAGCCCCCTCTAGAACTCCCTCTTCCATTTCCTCCCCCAATAATAGCAGTAATTAAAAATCCCAGTGTAATGGATATAATGAGCAAATTGTATCACTGTGTAGAATAACGCAAAGCCATAATCAGTGTTGTGTTGCCCTCTCCTGGAATGTGCAAGACTAAATACTACACTGCTTCTAAAGGCATGTAAGAGTTGTCAGTCTGTACATCCATATGGTCATGCTCAGGCCTTTGCCTTTTGCAGATTTCATGTGGAGCATGTCAATGTATGCAAATCTACAGGAGCAATACAGGCACCAACTTTTTGACTGTATTTCCATTTCTATAAAACAGAGGCAAATAATTGCCTTGCTTTTCTTGGGTTTACTGGTCTATCTAATTCCTGAAAGTTTTGCAAATATCCTGAGACCCTCAAGTAGAGAATACTTTTTTTTTAGTAAATTGAAATGTTTTTCAGTAATACCATATGTTGCAGTTCAAACGGCGCCGCGACCTGGTTTAGGGACGGCACGGCGACCACCCCCAGGCCACTCGGACCATCAGCTCGCTGACACCAATGTGGTGGACGGCAAATGGCGTTTATTGATGGGTAACACAGTGTTATATAGCTAAGGTTTACAACGTCACATCCGTCTGCTTACATCATAAACTAAACGCTATTGGCTATTAGGGGCTCTATCTTTCCGTACAGCACGATATCTTCCGGCCGCCGGACCCTAACTATCTGCAACAACCATGCTACATAGAATGTCCTATCATTCAATGTGCATTCCCAATTTCAGGACATTTATAGCAAGGATTATTGTTGTTTGCAGATCTTTATTTTGCTTACTATCATCTGGTTTATATTTTTCTATACAAAATTAATATTCAAGTAATATTAACACCAGAGCAGAGGAAATGGTACAAGGAAAACAACATAGGCTTGAAAATAAAAGAGAAAATACATTTTGGAAAATACACAAGTATCAGATCAGGACCAGTTTCTCAATTACTATTTCACATTTTTGTTTCTGTTTATTTTAGCCAACCCCTGCCGGCATCAAGATCTTCTCGCAAACTGTGCAAACCTGAGAACCTTGTTTGGCTGTGAGGTCCCAATGGTGAAAAATAAGTGTTCTGCTACCTGCAGATGCACCACTGAAATCAGATAAAGTCCAGGTGGATGTCATTACAGTGGCTTTGAGACGAACCTATTTGGAAAGAATAAAACTAACTATGAAGTGTATTTGCTTTCAGTTTACCAGTTAAAACTGAGTTGTAGTTAGCATTTTTTATGAAATCACACCTATTATTACAGTCCTAATAGCTCAAGTTACCACTGATGTCATTTTAGGCTTAACAAACAATCATTTGGATTACTTTTTCCCTTTTTCTTGCAATAGACTTCTGACTGATTAATTTCTTTTTAATGGGAATTACTCTTTTAAAACTATTTTTGTAATATACAATAAATTTTGCTTAACTTTCTTCCGCTGTCTTTTCTTTTTTGATTATAAATGGATTTTTTTCTTGCTAAATAAACACCTAGTTTGTCATCACTTCCCAAACAGAGCTTTTATTTCCAGCTCTTCACAATTTGGTCCTTTCATTTGGAAAATTCCTTACGAATGTTTCAAGGTTCTTTGATAGTTCGTGCTAGTGGAGATGAGTCTGGAAAAGAAAAGCAAACAGAAAAATGATGGATTCTCTTTTACAGTCAAAAGAAGAGGCACACACAGTTTGCCAAGTTTTGCCTTGGGCTTAAACACAGAGCTTCTGATACATTCTATACATTCAGAGCTTCTATACATTCTACTTGCAAAACATGTATCTTAAACATGGATGTCGAATGCACATTACAAGAAGAAAATTTCTTTTGGTTCTTGTTAGAACCCTGCAATGGATGCTATTCAAAGGGACTCTTAGATTGCACTTGAGGTTTTCAAGACAGAGAAAACAAATTGCTTTTCCTTCAGCCATTTTCAGATTTATCTCCCTGCTCAGACACTTATTACTTGACCACTTGCACAAAATTACACCAGCAGTATTAGCACACGACAAACAACATAATTTAGGGTTCCTCTTCAGTACACAAATTCCTCATAGAGGGGATTGTCTCCATTCATCTCTATCCCCATTTATCATATATTTATCATATATGCACCTTCAGTTTCAATTTTAGATGAATCTGAAATGTTTTTTCTGCAGGGCTGTAATTCTGGTTGCCAACACAAGAGGGTGAACCATATCCATACATTCAGCTGCATCGGTTTTTGGTTTCATGCATGAAATTCTGCATGAAGGGCTTCTCCTTTTACTAGAAATTAAAGATCTCGTCCTGCCCTGATCTAGTTTTAACACTTGGTTGCATAGAATTTCTTAGCAAATACTGGATGAATAAATAATAGCTACATATAAAACCAGTTTGTGTAGTGGTTTGTACCCCATATTGTTTCATACTGACTTTGCTGGCCAAATTTCTGTCGTATTTAGGTAATTTTAATTTTCCAGGATATCACTGGCTAGCTAAGGTAGCCTTCATTTGTTATCTGTCTGAAGTGATTTCTGCGGATCATGACTGCATCCCACTATTCATGGTTTGCAGTGTTATTTATGGAAAGTGCTGTAAAACAAAAGTAGGGTGAAAAAATTCCTAAGCAAGATATATTTTCCTCAGGGGGAAAAAAAAATCATACACAAGATGTATTACAGGAGAGTAAATAACTTTGCCAAAACTCTCAGGAAATTTCTGGGATATTTTCCAACATTTAACTTGCATTTAAAAACAGGAAGGGGGTTTTAATCATTCCTTGCACACACTTTCTTCTTCTTTCTCTCTCTCTGGCCCAAGGCACATTTGAAGAATGCTCTATTAGCAGAGATTTCTGACAGAGCCAGATCCCCAAACACTCAGGCTTTTGCACTTTGGCTAACCAGCTATGGCAGCAGCAAGAACCAGAAGATCTTCCACGTCAGGATATGCCACCCCGGAGCACCTTAAGTCCTACTAGACCACTAGTGTAGTGTACAGACACTTTGCTTCTTGCTTTCATAGCTAATTTCAAAAGTTTCATATTCAGGTGGATCAACAGGTATAGCAGGTGAGCTTTAAGGCTATCTGGAAGACCCTGTTTCTCATCATAGATTGTAAGGAGGACTTAGGTCATTGCTCATCTCCTTGGGAAGGCAGAGAAACTTCTGAATGCCCCATGGCAGGGGAGACAAAAGCAACGTTGCATCCATCGAGATCTTGCATGTCTTAAAATGCTTTTGTCCTTTCCCTGAACATTTTTCATGAACTTACTTTTAATACTGATGCCTTGGGTTTTGTTTCTATTATGGCTCTAGCATGTATCTTTTGAAATGTGCAGAAATTATACCTGTATTTGTGTTACTTTTTAAGGGTAACACCATGGAGAAACTAATAACACCAAAGAAATGTCTTTACATTTCTATTCTGATTCCAGATATACTCATAAATAGCACATACGCTGAAAGATGATAAGAGTAACAACTACAGTACAAGTTCAAGTCTTTTATCTACAGAGAATGATGTAAGACCTCATAAGCAGACAACTTAGGTGAGAAAGATTTTAAACACAGTTTTGAAAAAGTTTTATGAAGCCACATATGCCAGTTTTATGGCTTATGAAGAAAGAACACTTCTGATATTTAACATAAGCTAAGTGCAGTATCCATGCTACCTATTTTAGACATCTAAGAATCATACATTTTCTCTGGCCTAAGCAAAACAGAAAAAAAACACTCACTTTCAGTTTCACAGAGACTTGCTCACTGTCATGGACCTAAGAGTGTCCCTGTTTATTTTTCTGGTAAAGAGAACAACTCTCCCATCAATCCTTAATCACTTAAATCTTCAATGTACCTACAATACATTCTACAGAATGTGTCTACAATAACAGCAGGCTAAGTAACTGAAGACAAGACTTTAAAGTAGTGAAAAACAAGGTTTGGTAACTCCAGAGAGTGACTGATGCCATCATGCCAAACAAGAGTTATTAGAGAGCACAGGCTAAAACAGATCCCACTGGGATCTGCAAGAGACTGATGCCTGTCTCTTTGCACTGAACAGAGATGATTAATTCAGACTAGATGGCCAACTTTTAGAGATGCGAAATTAGATGAAACAGGACAGACTCCAAAGCTGAGGAGATGAGAACTTTCTTCCCAGATGAAGTGGAGGCAAAATATTTACCTGCTCACAACAGTGCATCCAGCTTTCAAAAATGTTCTTTCACATATTCACATCTGATCCCACATTTCCTTCCTATATACCATTTCCCAAATTATCTGTATAGCATCAGAGGACACACTTTTCACTATTTCCTCTGAAATCCTTATCCTGAGGCACAAAGAAGATTAGATCCCCGCTTTGGCCTGGGCCTTACCTCAGGTCTCTTTTTTTCAGCCTCAGGTATCCTTCAGCTTTGAGTTCAAACACTCACACAATTATGCATGTTTGATGTGCCATTAGGAATTTGGGACCTCAGATCAACCCACAAGAATTGGAGCTGTAGAAAGATGCTTGAACATCTTGAACCCCATGCAGCACAGGGGTGTCAGAGTGAGGACCATCAGAATGTTCCCAGCTCCCGGCCTGCTACAAGCACTTCTGCCAAAAAAAAAGGATTCCTCCAAGTGAAAAGGTTATGTTTCAAACACGAAAATCAGGAGAGGGGACTTTCTCATTAAGAAGTCATTTGACAGCTACTGTCTCCACTCTGGGCTGGAAGGAATACATTTAACCTCCTGTGCTTTGGTCTCACTGACTGCAACAGGTAGATAAATTGCATACTCAGAGGTGAGGAGATTAATTAGTGAATGCTGATAAGGAGCCCTTAAAGACCTGTTAATTATAATATCACACTGCGTACACACACCTCCAGCATAATTTTATCTTGGTTTAACCACAAGACAAGGGGACGCTGCTGGAAATGCTGCTCCCTTCTGCACTGTCCTGCTGGTGACGCTCACAAGTCCCCGCACTGGCTACACTGGCTTAGGTATCCGGTCCAGGGTCTCACTGGAGCTGACAAAGATATTCCGACTCCACTACTAAGTCTTGTGGAAACACTGTTCTTAGGAAAAGTTATGTTGGAATGGAAATATTTTCATATGCTTTAGTGAAATTGCCCACATTAACTCTTCATTGCAGTTACTGAAAAACAAAACAATGCTCAGAATGTGTAAGTGAAAATGGCTCTCTACAATGTTTGTTATCATCAGAATTTTTTTCTGGAGTAACTGAAATTATCTTTTCAAGTCAAATGGTGTATTTCTCTTTCAGTTCTGCACTAACACTCCTCTGCACTCTCCTCCTCCCACACATGCATATATAGCGATAGCAGTAAAGGAGGACTTGGAATCTATGTCTAAATTTAATATGCTATATTAATGCATTGTACACTCCATATTTTCACGTATTTTAAATGTTTTTAGATCTCAGAGGGTTACCTGCTCCACCATTTTATATAAATTTAATCTTTCTTTACACTTGAGGTCACTCTTACTGAGTTGATACCAAAGCTAAAAATGTTAAGTGCTTTTCCAGAATCATTCAGGAGACAAAAGGCAAAGATAAAAATAATGTCAGGTCTCCAGACTCGCTGTCCTTTCTCCATTAGCTGCCTTCCTTCAGAGCTACAGCTATTCTACACCTGGGGAGATGCTCAGAGCATTGTGTTCCACTAGAATTCATCTTATCTGGTTTTATATGCCTGCAATGTAGTTACCTGCATCTTAGACAGATTCCTGTAGATTTCTTTTACAACCAATGGAGAGAAAATGACATTACTCGGCTATTCCTCTCACTCTAGGCAGACACCTAAAATACATCTTGCTGCAGAGGAGGTTATTTTTCCATTCACTGGAAAGTTACCACAGGTTCCCACTCTAATAACATCTTCAAGGTTCAAACCATGCCGCGGATCTGTCCCAAAACTATGGGTTTCACAAGGCTCACGCTGAATGTTGTAAAAAACTGCAATAATTCACAGAAAGCAACATGAATGCTTGGTTAGTGCTTCACAATGCAACATAATTTACTACATAAATAACCTTTTCCAGTAGACAGTACGACTACTTCTTGTTAACTCCCAGA